TGACAGTGTTTGATTTGAAATAAGAAAATCACAAACAATCACATTGTTCTGCATAAAGATCTTGTATATCGTTTGTAAATACTACTCAAAGGAAATTGAAAAATGTTAGGGGCGCTGTATAATGCTTCATTCGGATGGTATTTGAGATTAAATTCTATGAAAGTATAGGAGAGTTTGTTATTACAAGTAAATTGATAAACTAAAAGGGAAGGAATGTATTACAACTAGAATCCTGTATTTGATGGGTTGTTAGGTCTTGTGGATCTTGATAAGTACTGTCCATTGGACCCTAGATCCAATGGGGGCTTTGGGGGGGGGGTGGCCTCCCTTCAAAAGAAGGGGGGCCACCCCAATAGAACTCTCTCTAGCCTATCCGCATATCCAATGCCAACTCAAGGTCGTGGTACGTTCTCAACACCTAAAAAAAAATTCAGCCACATAGGGTGAACATATAGTCTAGTAGAAAATTCGTTCTATCTATTAATATATATTTACACTGCATATGATCATGATGCTATACATATATAGGATGCTCAAATCGATTTTCTATCAATGACAATGTTTGTTTTTTAAATCTCATGAATTATCAAAGTGTGTGATAAGAAATCTCAATTCACAATTCATTTCATTACATTCTGGTGAATGCTCTTAAGGTATATGTATCTACTAGTGGCCATAGATAGAACCACCTAATCAACCCCACTTTACCAGTTGCTAGCCAAGTGATGTAGAACAAAATTCTATAATTTTTATATTTCTTAATTTTATTACTTTGGAATTAGATTTTGACAAGGATTTTAAATAGTCTAGAATTATAGTTTCTTATTCTCTTAGGTTTCCTAATTTGCGTTGATTTAAGTTTTCTAGTTTATTTTAGAATTACTTTTCCTGCAAGTATTAGATTTAGTTTATTATAAATAAGCCTACAAGCATATGTAATGGATTCATTCAATCAATAATATTTTAAAGAATTTTTCTTCTATGTTCCTTGTGGATTCAAGGGTGTTCTTGTGGATTCAAGAATTCTCGTCTACTAGAACGATATCTAGTCCCTATTCGTCTACTAGAACGATATCTAGCCTCGTGTGATTTATTCCGCTGTGTCACCAAGAAGAAAATTGGAACCTATACATTAAGCACACGCCCACTGTACTAGTCGCTAGCCAGAAGGAAATTAGTTCCTACATTAAGTACATTTCTTTATACATTATCTGAATTCACATAACAGTTCAATTTAAAAATAATAATTTTCAAATCTCAATGCAACACATGCAAATCTTCATTTTCGTCCAAAATGTGTTCAACAACACCTATGTTCAATAACAGGTTTTCAATACATGAATTCAACAATATATAATTCAATAAAATGAGTTTTAGTTCATCCTATGATGAAATTTAACTATATAATGTCGTTCTTCCTTAATGACCAACAATACAATTTCTATCAATGCTATAATTCCATAAATTACATACACTTATCTTCAATTTCAAGATATAGGTACAATTTCATCATTTCATATAATTTAACAAATTATGGTTTCTCAAATTAAAGCACCCACATGCTATTTAACATTAAGAAAATAATTTTGACAAGAAAATTATAGAGAAACACCTAATCAATTCCAAACCCTAACCTCTAACGTGCATTTTCTCAAATATCTCTACCAATATCTCGATGGAGTATACTAAAACTACCACATATACATATATAAACTAGATTAAGTAAATAAAAGAAAATCGTACCTCAAATAGAGAAAAAAAAAAGTGTGAACTAAAAAATTAGCGAAATAAAAACTGGCTCTGATGGATATGAATCCCTCAATGTGTTCTACAAGGTTAATACTCGAGCTTTTGAGTGATCCTAACTCCAACCATCTCAATCTTGAAGATTAATGGAGTATTAAAGGAAGAGAAAGAGGAAAAGGGCCCAAAATGCATGGTTGGGAGGCTGCCATGTCCCTCAAAAGATTTTGATCCCGCACAATCTGCTCGTGCGTAATTTCTGGGTTGCTCATGTGGATTTGTCCAGTGAATTTTGCTCGCAAGCTTCCATAATCTGCTCGTGCGAAACAACTGTTCTGCACGTTCAGATTGACCTAGACAACTTTATAGGGAAATTTCAAACAGTCATATCTCCTTCTTCCAGAATCATAATTAGGTCAATTTTGTATCTAAATTGAAGCCCTGGAAGTAATCTTTCCAACGGTTCTAGTTTCATGCCAAAATTTAAAAGTGTGGAGAGAGAAAAGAACAAAAGAGTGAAGACTAGTCAAAAATAAAAACTCAAATTTAGAAAAATAATTCAATCTTGCCCAAGTATCATGTTAACACATCAATCAAGGTTCTAAACACCTAGAAAGAGGTCTCATTTATAATAACAATAATGCTACACTTGACACTTTTTATATACCACCTCGAATGTACCACCTCATATGTTAACCAATCATTAGTGTAATGGGTCTTATCATTTATGTTTATATCAAATGATGTGTTACATATGAGGTGGTATAAAAGGTGGTAAGTGTAGTATTACTCTTATAATAATGAAAAGGCCAAATGCAAACTTGTCATTTCCAAGAGTCCGAAACAATGCAAGCACAAGGTAACAGGTACCAATTGAAGTAAACATGTTGGGTTTAAGATCTGAAACGCTACATTGGCTATAACAAGGTGGGTAGGGAAGTGGATAGGAGAATAAGGGCTAGCAGTGAAGGGTGGGAGACGAAAGGAGTTGGCTGTGTTAAGGTAGGTGGTATATGAGAGGTGGAGATGATGGTGATGAGGCAATTGGTTGGGAAATGAGCATTGAAGTTGAGAGAAATAAATGATATATGCTTTGCACCATATTTTCATGGGTATTGTACCATAATATGATTGGAATGTAACTATTTCATTTTTCTATAAACAACCTTTTTTTCACGTTTTCATGGATTAGCCTTAGGAATGGCCATTTTAATCCGACTCGCGGGTTCATCCGTACCTATCTCGAATGGTGCATATTTTATCCGATCCGTTACTTATGCGGGGCGGGGGTGGATTAAATTTTGGTCACCCATAGCTCGCCCGGGAGAGTGAGGGCAGGGCAGGGCAGGGCAGAGGCGGGTATCGCTTCCTCCAATCCAAACCTGACCCGATATACTTAGGCCTCGTTTGGGAACAAGCTAATTTAGTAACTTTTTGGCTATTTGGCTAAAAAGGTAGGTAAAAAAAACTTGTATGTTTGGGATGACTTTTTGGCTAATTACGAAAAGATGTGCAAAAAGTAGAGAGAAAAGAGAATCTTTGACTTTTTGGTATGAGTTGTTGGCTTTTTGGCTAATTTAGTAACTTTTTGGCTAATTGGCTAAAAAAGTAAGTCTCCAAACGGGGCCTTAATAATATATATGTAAATATAATATAATTAGATATAAGAAAAAAATAACTAAAAGTCTGCAGCTCTATTTAAATATAAATAAATAAGAAGTCAAACTGTGGTCTCCTTATTTTGTAATAGGAAATTATTTTGTGTATTAAGGATTTAAATTGTTCTCAATTTTTTTGGCAATTTGAAATGTGATCGGGTATTCGTGGGCAGGTATCAGGTATCCGTGTGGACGGAGATCGAGTTAAAAAATTATACCCGTAGTGGGGTTGGGGCAGGGATGGGGTTTGAAAGTAGGGGCGAGGGATGACAAATCCGCCTCGTGGCCATCCCTAATCACCCTTCAATATGGATAGTGTTTCGGTTGCCCCGTGCGACATGGCAATATCTGTCATCGAAGTATGACATTTTCTGTTACCGAAGTATGACGGTGGTTGAAAATTAGATCAAAGTGAGAAATAAATAATAGTTTAAAAACCCAAATAGAATAATCTTCTTTTAGAGGCCAAAGTAAAAAATAGGTCATAGTCTAGGGGTGAAAGAGTAATTTAACCAAATTTAATAACAGGCTAATGCAATGCATGATTTTACAAGTAATTCTATTTCCACACACTACTTCCTCTCTTTCCACACACTTAATGATTTTTTTTATTACATTTTTGTCTTCAAATTAAATTACCAAAATATCCCTTTCCCAAAATCCTAACTCTAACTCTCTATATCAAAGAAAGAGAACAAGTTTGGGGATGAATTCTCAATTAATATAAAGAACATCAGTAATTTTTTCTACATCATAACTAATTTTTTGATTTTTTTTTCCCCCTTCATTTTGTTGTTTGACTAGAATGGCCAATGTATGTTTTTGTTTATTAATATAATTGTTTCCCATGTTTTCAAAAAAAAAAAAAAAAAAAAAAAAAAAAACCAACAACAACAACAACAAAGCACAAGAACAAAATATTTTCCTTAAACAAAATATATATATATATAATCATCATCTTGCAATATAATTGGCCAAACAATGGCTTTCTATAACTTCCACTGAGCAATTTGGATCACTTCAAATACAAACTCTAAATAAAACTTTTTAATATAGAAAAATATATTACCGACGGTCATATGTAATTGCATTGCTGAAATTACAAATATGTAAACCAATCATGTTCCCTCTAGCAAAGAAAAACTGAACCTCTTATTTCAATGATCAATTTCGGCAATAGAGGCTACGGAAGTGGCGCCGACGGGTGGAGGGAGGGGTGGGGGTAATGACTAGAAGTGAAAGGGAGAGGAAGAGGTGCCGTCGACGACGGCACCAACAATGGTGGCTTGTTAGGGTTAGGGTTAGGGTTTGGAGGATGAAGATGGTAAGGGTATTTTTGGTATAGTAGGATGTGTATTGAGTGAAAGTTGATAATTTAAATTTATTTAGTTTGTGTATTGAGAAAAGATGTGAAAAGAGAAGAAGTAGTGTGCAGAAATAGAATTTTCCTGATTTTACCTTTTACATCAAGTTTGCTTTGCTCTTTCAATCTCAACTTTTAATCGAGAGGCTCCATACTTGATTCTTTAACAACCGAATTTGCCCATAACTTAGCTAAAAATAAAAATTATACACTATTTAAAACTAAATTATCAACACTACAAAAATGAGGATATATACACTCATTTTATTTTATTTTGTAACACAAACCATGGTTGGAAAGTGGAATTCTCCCACACTGAACTTTTGTCAACAGTTTAGATCTCGGTTTTCAACCTCACTACACATTCACTTTATCACATTGAAAAAAAAAAAGAGAAGGAAAAAAAGAAAAAAAAGTCAAGAATGGAAAAGAAGTATACAAAATCAAAAGATCAAACTACTGCCTTGAAAGCACAACTCAAGCTAACGAATGATCCATGGTTTCTGTGTCCATTTTGATGTGGAAAACACAAGTTCCTGTAGAAATTTGCTTATCTTGTGAAGGAACCAATGCCATGGAGTCCACCTTCCAATATTGATCAACGTTCCTTCTCATCATCTCTTCACCATAGACCCATTTCTCCTCTTCCCTCTTATGTTCAAGACCCGCGTCGGAGCTCGAAATCGAGACCTTTCTCCAATTACACCATATTCTCAACATGACATATATCAACCCCAAGCATATCAGTGTAGAGGTAAATACAATAGCCACTACAATCCAGGCAACAGCAGTGTTAGAAAGCTCTTTTTTACCCTGACCCATTGATGCCAAACACGGCGCTAGTGGTGGGCCGCATAGTCTGTCATTGCCCAAGAATGAGCTGAGTGGGAATCCTGAAAAGGTTGATGGAAGTTGGCCTTGGAGATGATTGTTGGACAGGTTAAGCATGTGGAGGCTAGTCAGCTTTCCAAGTGAAGGTGGGACATGTCCTTGGAGCTGATTGAAAGAAAGGTTCAATCTTTCCAACTTCACAAGATTTCCAAGAGAGGAAGGAATTTCCCCAGAGAGGAAATTTGTACTCAGGTCCAAAATAACTTGTAACTCAGTAAGTGTTCCGAGTTCGGATGGTACTGAACCAGTCAAGAAGTTTTCTGAGAGTCTCAGCTCATAGAGCTTCTTACATTGCTGAATTGTAGAAGGAATTGATCCAGAAAGGTTGTTTCTGTCTAGGCTAAGGACATTCAAAAAAGTTAGACTTCCTATCTCAGATGGGATTTCACCTGACAGTTTGTTTCCATGGAGATCGAGTTTAAGCAATCCTGAACAGTTCCCGATTTCTGAAGGTAGTTTCCCAAGAAATTCATTGGATGAAAGATCAAGCTCACCAAGTTCTTGAAAGGATCCTAACCATGGAGGAATCATGCCTGAAAGTCGGTTGTTGTTGAGTAGGAAGTGGCCTAGTTTGTTGCAGTTTGAGAGCTCTGATGCCAACTCTCCTGTTAAATTGTTGAACGATAAATCGAGGAAATTAAGCTCTGTGAGGTGGCCAAATTCGGAAGATATGGTCCCAGAAAGAAGGTTATGAGCAAGGCGAAGACGGGTCAGATTTTTCGACATGAAGAGTGTGGAAGGAATGGGACCTGAAAAGGTGTTGTTTGTCAAGTCTAGTCTGGTTAGCTTACTTGAACCTAAGAGAGGGAAGAGGCTTCCACTGAACCTGTTATTAGAGAAGTTTATGATTGTGAGGTTCTTTAGAAGGGAGAGAGCTTGAGGGAGAGGACCTTGAAATGAATTGTTGTAAAGAGTGATAAGGAGTAGCTCTGAGAGGAATCTAAATGTTCGTGGGAGTGTTCCTGAGAGCTTGTTATCTGCCAAAGCCAGTGTCTGGAGCTTCTTGCAGTAGCCCAAGCTAGGTGGGACCGGACCCGATAGATCATTCTGCCTCAGTTGAAGGAAAACCAGATTTTTAAGCCTCCCAATTGTTTGTGGAATTGACCCTGTAAACTGATTTCCAAAGAAATCAATCTCTGTTAAACTTGAACAGTTTGTTAGCTCCACTGGTATGTTTCCTGACATCTGATTGTCATAGAGATATAGAACACTCAATCTCTGCAGCTTCCCAATTTCACCAGGAAGCCCACCTGTGATCATGTTGCCAAACAGATAAAACGTCACCAAGTTGGTCATGTTTCCAATTACTGGATTTAGAGTACCCGAAAAACTGTTGTTGTTGAGTAAGAGATCTGTGAGGTTCTCTAGTTTGTCCAGCCCAGATGGTAGTTCTCCTTCAAATTCGTTGTTCGAAAGGTCTAATTGTTGAAGAGATGAACAATTCAGCAGTTCCATGGGGAATTTGCCAGAGAGCTTATTTCCAGCAAGAAAGAGTTGCTGCAAATTTGAACCCACAACGCAGAGGTTGCGCGGAATGTCACCTGTCAAGAAATTATCAGACAGGACAAGAACCTGGAGGTTCTTCAATTGGGTAGTGAGAACGGTGATTATGCCTGAGAGGTTATTTTTCGATAAGTCGAGCCTCTCAAGATTACCCAAATTGTTGATCTCTGATGGGATTTCTCCATTCAATCTGTTCCCAAGCAAGTTGAGGTGCTTCAAGTTGAAGAGACGACCCAACTCTATAGGAATCGATCCGGTAAGGCTGTTATTGGCTAAGTTCAGAACTTGAATTGATTCAAGCTTTCCCATCAAAGCATGGATTTCTCCTTCAAGCATGTTGTTGGAAGCTGCAAAGTTTTGGAGCTCTAAGCAAAAACTGATCTCTTGTGGTATGAGGCCGCTGAGACTGTTCTTCTGCAAATCAAGAGATTTGAGATGCTTCAACTTACCAATTTCAACTGGGATACTTCCATTTAATTGGCAATAAGCGAGTGCAAGAACTCTCAACTCGGTCAAGTTACCAATGTCTCGCGGAACTTGTCCGGTTAACATGTTATCTCCTATTCTAAGAACTTCCAGTTTTATCAAAAGGCCGATCTCTTCAGGAATCCTACCGGAGATGTTGTTTGAATAAAGCAACAGCTCTCGTAGATTTTGAAGCTTCCCGAGTTCCGGTGGGATCGACCCAGTGAGGGAATTCATTGAAAAATCAAGTGTTTGAAGTGAAGTGAGCTTTGAGAAGTCAGGAGAGATCAGACCTGATAGTCCTGACCCAGAAAGGTTCAGACCCACAACACGGGTTTGATCATCTGAACATGTCAATCCATTCCAGGTGCACATGTTAGAGCTTGGAGACCAGTTGTCAAGAACTCCTACTGGATCAATGAGTGCTGATTTTATTCTCATGAGCCAGTATGAGTCTGTTGAATTATCCCCATGGATAACAGCACCAAGTACTGAGAAAAACAGCATCAAATGAAACATCTGAGTGCTACCCATTTCAGAAGATGTGACCGAGATCGATTTCAAAGCCAAGTACCAGGTACCCGAATCGCAAGATTCAGTCAATTGTTGTTACTTGGTGAGCTTGATTTACAATATAAATCGAAAAAAAACAGAAACAAGAAAAAGAATTTCAGGTTCAACATGTTCAGAATGGTACAATGGAATGGAGTTGGTGGAAATTTGCATGGAAGTTAGGACAGGATTTGAGTTTATATAGTTTTTATTGAAGTAGGCCTGCCTAATCAGCTTGAAAAGATGGTGTGAACTATAGTTATGCATGAAAAGTGATTAAACTTTTAACTTATGAGTTAACTTAGTATAAGATTTAAATCTTTTTACCTTTTCAGTTCTTGATAAAGGTGTGGTGCTTTTGTTTTTGTTTTATTTTTCTTTTGGTTTTTGTTTTCAAAGCAATCATGGAATTCTGTAGCATGTTTAAGTAGCTTTTGAGATGGGGATACGTATGAAGATAAAATATTGTGATAGGTATTGATAGAAAAAGAACAAACAAGCTATAGGAGAGAGATAGTCCCACTACCTGCTTGAAAGAAAATTCAAGTGGGCCTCTCTACTAAGTTTCTACTTGATGTTGTCCTTAGATTGAGAATTCCAGTAAGTATTTTAAATATCAGCAATGGTAGGTACCATAAAAAACTTTTTATGAAAATAATCATGAAAATTTTGTGACCCTTAGATTACACTTAGAATAAAGCATCACACAATAATCAAGGTAATCCAAGGATTATAAATTTTTCATGATCATTTTCATAAAAAAAATTTCATGATCCCTAACTTTTCCCTTTAAATATTTATATATATTCAGATTTTTATTTAAAAAAATAATATATGAGTCGATTCAATCATTATAAGGTAAAATTCACATTTAGAATGAATCTAAATAACTTATTATTTTTTGGATAATTTTTTTTTAGATAAGGAGACCCATGAATATAAATAATACTATTTCAATATGGGAATAAGAAATCAGTGATTTGGAAAGTTAGTTAAAAATTAATTTTTTGATTTTATTAATTTTTTAGTCTTTTTATGTATAAAAATATAAAAAGTGATATGATTCAAAATAAATAAAAGGATAAATGCTAGCTTTTTGCTTGCTTTCCAAATTAAAATACAGAATATTTACTGAATTGTGTGTCGGTAAATCAACTTTATAATACTAATTCATGGGCAACAATAAGATATAGATGCATGGAATCTGAGAATAGATTGGGTATGACTTTTTAAGAGATGTGGTCAGATCAACTTCAACAATTGTCAACTAAATAGGTATAAATCCATTATGTTATTGTGGTGGTTATAGGATGCTCCGCAGATGCATCAAGAGATAATTTCATTCAACCCCCACCGTCCACACTGCACAGTGATTTAAACCTCTTTTTTCTCTAGCTAGATTGGTTTATAATCACCATAGTATAAAACTATAAAAGCAATTGAAGGTAAATGATATACTTTTCTTCTTGAGTTACACTGCTGACTTGTATAAGAGAAGTGTTTGGTTTTTGTTCTTGACAATCTTATTTGACAAAACTTCTTTCAGTTGTAATTGTATTCGATCTTTTATTTCAGTGAGGCTATGAATATTAGATGCAGATCCAATCCGAATTGTGCCTTGTAGAGAAGTTTGTAGTGTTAATTCTTTCATGTTTGTCATTTCGCTGACTATGTTGGGGATCGAGCTGCCCAATCAGCTCGCGGGAGTTCAGGGGGCAGCGCTCCTTGGCGGGTCCGAAGCAGGCAGGGTCGAGGGGCAGCGCATCCGAAGCAAAAAGTAAAATTGCAGTTGAAGTTGTTTTTTCACTAGAGCAGTCATTCCTGCGCTCGAGCAGAGATTGTGACATTTCAAAAGTTTCACTTGCCTATAAAAGTACTAAGAGTTGACCTTTTCTGCTCGAGCAGTCATTCCTGCGTTGAAGCACAGAATCGCTCGAGCGGCCATTCTTGTGTTCGAGCAGAGATCGCGGATCTGTTTTCTATAAATATGTGATTCTATAAGATTTTAGGGTACGACTTCCAGATCATCTTCTTGGGTATTAGGGTTTTCATCTGGAGCTTTTTTGCTAGTTTCTTTGATGTTTATTTGAGTTTAACTCATGATTTGAAAAGTATACATCAAAGGATTGTTTGTTTCGTTCAATACAAAAGAGATAGTTGTTCTTCAGTGGGTTCTGGAGAATTTGGGTCAGAAGTTTTGGTGGATTCTGGAGTAACTCATCGTCGTAAATTCAACATCGGCGTTGTGGATTTAACGTTGTACAAGACAATTCTGAGGTAAAGACGAGGCTTGAAGAGGCACATAGGGGTCGGTTCAATTCGGGCGTGGATTCGCTAGGTAATTGAGAGTATACTTGTATAATTCCTTTATGTCTTCTTAGTGAATTGTTTTGTGACTTTTGCTCGTGATTTTTTTATCACAATTGGAGGCGCTCCAATTGTGATTTTTTCACGTAAAATCGTTGTGTCGATTTGTTTTTATTGTTTGATTGAGACTGTTATTTACTGCTTAAAATTGATACATAATCACAAATCAATATTTAAGAGATTTCTAGATTTTTCAAGAAGAGCATCTATTAGGACTACAATGCCTTTGTCCTGTTTAGTGTAACTTATTATTATAGATTGAAAGTTGATAATTAAAAATAAAATTTAAAAGCATTTCATCCCTAGCTTTTAAATAATTATTTTTTTAGTTTATTTAAACTATTTTTGTCTAACAAATTGTAAGCAAAAATAGTCTGCATAGATTCCAAAAGGAATATGAGTGGGAGCGCTAATTAGTGCCACCACTAATGGTGTGGCAGTGGGTCCCACCCACTGCCACGGTGTTGTTGTGTCTGTTTGTTTGTTTGTTTTTTTTTTTCTTTTTTTTTTAAGAAAAGTGGATGCCACATCATTAGTGGTTGCTTTAGAGCACCACTTTTAGTTGTCTCTATCATTGCTCATTCCAAAATTAAAATATTCCCTCCATCCCATTTTATCGGTCCATTATTTCATTTTTTGTTCTCCCAAAATATATGTCCACTTTGAAAAGTCAAAACTTTAAATTTAAAAGTTTTCAAAATTATCCCTTATAAAGTAATTATAAGTATATTTAAAATTGAGAATAGAAGGATATTTTTAGAATTTTATCTTTTAAAATTTGAATTCGAAGTGTAATGAATATCTCTTTAAAAAGTTTGAATCTTCAAAAGGAACTATTAATTTGGGACGGAGAGAGTAATCAATAAACATACCGTTTAACCCTTTTTTGTTTGTCTGTTGAAAATCATTTCTTCTAGTGCACTATGTGATTTAGATTTATTTTGAACATGACGTACATAACAATCAATAAGGATAAAAAGATGGATCGCACCCACATATTATAATTTCTGTACATTGTGTTTTAACTCAATTCAAAAGCATTTCTCCTCGTCTTCAATTTTTTGTTTTATTTTTGCAAAACATACTTGTTTAGCGAATTGTTTCTAAAAACTATTTTCGGTAAAATTTATTAAAATCAACCCACATTTTAAGAAATACCAAAAATTGTTTTCAAATTTTCAAAATTAATTTTGCACAAACATGAAAATAATTTTCAATTCCAAACAGGCTTACTGATTTTTGTTCTCAATTATTTTTACTAAAAATTTTTGAGCCATGATTGCTTATTTTTATGAAGAAATGAAAACTAAAGTTACATCACATAAGGAGATATTTACAGTCATATGTATTATACCTTTAATAAAAATGTCACACAAATATACAAATCTTATAAATTATTATAAAATAAGTTGCAAGCTTTGTATATTTGTATAGCATTATGAGAACTAATTGTTAGACATAGCAATACCTCAGTTGGTCTGTTTTAACATCCCAGCCTCTCATTAATTTTTTTGGTCAAATTGCCAACACCCCTTTGAAATTTGACTAAAATACGGATTCCTCTCTGAAGTTTACAAAATCACAAATTGCCCCCTGAGATCTACATTTTCATGACAAATGGGGGGCAATTTGTTATGCAAATATAAATCTCAGGGGGTAATTTGTTATGTAAATATAAACCTCAGGGGGTGGGATGTAATTTCTCAAGGGAATCCGTATATTAGTCAAACATCGAGGGGGTGTTTGTAATTTTCCCTTTTTTTTTAATTTAATTTAATTTATTATTTTTATTTTTTTTTGAGAGTTATAAACTTTGAAATAATATGGATTGAGAATTCACAGATCAAATCTCCTCTTTCCTAACCAAATCCCACCTAATGCTGAATTAAATACAAGAAGAAAACATAAGAGCAAAACAACCCCCAATTAGCTTTTAATTTCAGTGGAGACCAACTTGATCTATCTACCAAGACCATGTGAGGTTTTTGTGTTATATAATCAAAATAGAGAATGTTTCATTTTCCCATCTGACCCTATTAAATTTCTAACTCAGAGAGAGACAGAAAGTGTGAGAGTGGGGGGTGGGTGGGGTCATTGTAATTGTATGTATGGTGAAGGATTCCTGCTAAAGAGGAGCCCAAGAGCATCATGACAAGAAGTTCACTTGACAATGATTTTCTTTCCAAGGAAGCACGTGCTCATACTTAGCTTTCACCTTTACTCTAAAACCATATATATCCATTCATTCATTCATTCACCTTTACTTATTTTCTTCAGGATTTAGATCTTCTTTGGCCAGTGATTTTTTTAGTTAAAAAGTCATTAAAAAAAAATCAAAAAATCAACAATTTATACCAAAAAATCAAAGTTCATCCCACTAAAAACATCACCACTAATAGCACTAATGCATTAAAAAAGTAAAAAAAAAAATAAAAAAAAATACAACTCCAAGACCAAAACATCACATCATTAATGGCGGGACTCACTGCCACCTAATTAGTGGGAGCACTAATTAGTGCTCCCAAGCATTTTTCTTTAAAATATTCCCTCCATCCCATTTTATCGGTCCATTATTTCATTTTTTGTCCTCCCAAAATATATGTCCACTTTGAAAAGTCAAAACTTTAAATTTAAAAGTTTTCAAAATTATCCCTTATAAAGTAATCATAAGTATATTTAAAATTGAGAATAGAAGGATATTTTTAGAATTTTATCTTTTAAATTTTGAATTCAAAGTGTAATGAATATCTCTTTAAAAAGTTTGAATCTTCAAAAGGAACTATTAATTTGGGACGGAGAGAGTAATCAATAAACATACCATTTAACCCTTTTTTGTTTGTCTGCTGAAAATCATTTCTTCTTTTCAACAGTGCTACATGCACATAATTAAAACATAGAAATTACACAGAGAGTGCACTATGTGATTTAGATTTATTTTGAACATGACGTACATAACAATCAATAAGGATAAAAAGATGGATCGCACCCACATATTATAATTTCTGTACATTGTGTTTTAACTCAATTCAAAAGCATTTCTCCTCGTCTTCAA